CATTAAACCAATTTTCTTTAAACAAAGAAGATATCCACAATTCTTCTGTTTGGAATATAAAACCAATATAATTAAATATAGTAAAAAAAAAAAAAATAGACAGAGATTACCTCAACCGTAGCTTATTACACTCCACACCGAGTCACCAACATCTGATAGCACGGGATCAATGGTTTAACTTCAATCTCGAACCGAGAAAACAAATTTCGACCAAACTAAGTATTCACTTTTAAATCTCTACAAACTCTAACCCAAAATTTTTTTTTGCTTTGCCCCTAATTTCTCAAACCAGTATGAGAGAGAAAGTGAGAGACCTAGGGTTGGAGCTTAGGAGAGAGAGGGTTAAAAAGAGAAAGTTTGAGATAAAGACCCAGAGGAGAGAGAGAGGGGCATGCTCCTATAGGAGAGAGAGGAGAGAGAGAGATCGTAGGAGAGAGAAAAGGGTAAAAAATAGGGAGATAGTGCACCATTATTTATAGAGAAAATTTTGGTTTAGGGTTTCTCATAATTTGCCTATTTCTTGAGATTAAATATGGACCGTTGATCAAGGTGACTTATGGAGTGAGAGATCTGAGCTATCCATGCTATAGATGGGTCATCACCGAAGGTGCTTGGACCATTGTCCCTCTTTCCTTAAACTATTTTTCCATACATATATTTAAATAAATTGAATCTTATTTAAATATTATTCATTTCATAAAATAACATATTCTTTCTCATACTATTCAATGATATGTCAAGTCAAGATATGCTTTTAATATTAGGATAAAATGTAGTCAATCTTTTCCATATCTAATATTAGATCACATGCCACAAGATACCTTTTCTAAATTTAAATAACTCGACAATAAAGCAAACAACCAAAAGGTGGGGCGTGCCACCCATATGTGGCATGTGTGAGCCCCACCCACATGGTACATAGGCCCATGTACACTATAGGCCCCCATGATATTTAGCAAATTAATTTTTAAAATATTATTTGAATTTTATACTTTGTTAAAATCAATAATTTTATTTTTATAAGTCAAAAAATAATAAATAAAATATTAAAAGACTCATAAAAATTCAAATGATAATTCTAAAACAATTTCTGTCATAAAAAAAATATAATTAAATTAATATAATAGAAAATAGATCCATATGCTTTAGAAATTGAATTAACAATCATGGGGCACTCCACCTTCAACTGTGGACTACAGACCACACTTGCTTTATCAGACCGACCCAATGTTTCCCATGACCCACAGTCCAAGCAGGAGCTCATTAGCGGGTTACTAGAGTCTGACCGATGAGCCAAAGCGTAATCCCAGTATGTGGATTTCAGGTCCTCCCCTAGAGATGAGTCAAGGTCACAAAGACCTTATGCGACCCAGCCCTATAGCGCATAGGGGTATCTCTCGCACATACATACGTTTCACCCTAAAAAGTGGATATCTGGCTTTTCCGAACAATCTATTGGTATGCAAGTCGTGTGATGGATCATAGATAAGGTTTTGGCCCCTGTCTCTGTCGGTCTACCATCACACACAATGGTCACACAGTCCCTCGGCTCATTCATCCAAGCATAAGCTCCGACCTTATTAAAGAATAACCTATAACCTTTCTCAGTTTGTTCTCTATGCCCAGATACATTGGGTTTTCCAACTGACTGGCCTAGATTGTCAAGCACAGTCTAGTATTAGCAAACATTGTTTGATTAGTATGGTCCACAAGGGACCACACTCCAACTAAGTTCATGTTCTACTATATTATTTCATTTTACAAGCACTCATAAGGCCTTTACAGGCCACATAAACCCAATACCCCCCTCCCCCCCATCCTCCTTCTTTATCTAATCTCCATCATGCATAAAGTGATCCAATAGTTCATAATTTTCTACAGTTTATTAGTAAAAATTATAAATGAGGAAAAGTATAAAATGAGGCCATTTATCTTTGGTATAAAGTGTTCACAATTAATCTTGACTATTGGATATGAAATTATATGGTTACATTTATTCCATGGACCAAGCACAAACTTCAAATGAAATTTTTTCAAACTTTGTGACACACCCAAGTTATTAGATTTTATATCATATGATTATAAATAATTACGAGCTTTTTGTATCAAAGGTAAATGTTCTCATTATATATTATACCTATAAATAAGTGCCCCTTTTGATTTGTGCTTGTGTATTGCTAAGAAGTGGAGGTGCATAAAATATAAGTTTGGATTCCTCCTCACAAATTTGTTCAGTTTGAACCACTAGGTCTTTATTTTAAATAATAACTAATTTGAATGGATGAAGGCAAACACTTGCTTAATGGATGAGTCAGATGCCAAATCCATTTCTTTTGCATCAACTTGTCACTTTTCAGTTTATTGTACCCCGTTTAGCCTTGCCCAGAACTTTTTTTTTTTCCCTTGAGAAAGAAATGCTGATTGATTATGATGATATCTTGAAATTTCCATTTTTTTTATTGAGACTTTATCCTTATGGTGCAAAACTACAATTATGCTTTTTTTTTTTTAAGTTAAAATTAAAAAAATCACAGGAAAAATAATAACCCAATGAGAGAAGTTTAGATGTTAAAAACAGTGCTGATTGACTATGATGATGTCTTTAAATTTCCATTTTTTATAGAGACTTAATCCTTACGGTGCAAAATTATTGTCATGCATTCTTGTTTTTTCAGTAAAATTTTTAAAAAATCATAGGAAAAATAATGACCAAATGAAATAAGTTTAAATTTTAAAAGAGAGAGAGAGGTTTAGTGTGGGAAGAAGCCTTTATCCATAAGAAGGCAAAGATCTAATGAGGCAACTATTGTTAAGGGTAAAATGGAGATTACCATATGTAAGACTGAAGGTGTATTTTCATTAGAGCATTCAAGTTAGGGCAAGCTTTTTATGTTTCTATTGCAACATAAAACTTATATATTTCCTCTTATCCAATCGTCCATTCTGAATGGAGGGTTAAGATTGCCCTAATCACAATGTCACGTCTCTTTATTATTTTATTTTTAATTTTTTTCTATAAACTATTTTTATGCCAATTTTTATACATCCAATCATCTATTAAACTCGCACTAACAAAAAATATAAAAAAAATATTTCTAATAAAATAAAATAACCAAAATACCCTTAAAAAATTCATAAAGTGTTTTAGTTATTATATTTTATCGAAAAGATGGCACGTACCAAATTTTATATTCATATAATTTGTATAAAAAATTTAAAAATAAAATACTTTGAGACATCGGATTTAAGATCAAATGGTGAGTGGCTCTCTCGATCAAACTTAGCTAGCTAGATGGTAGGGGAGGCATGGATCTACTATGCTGTAGAGAAAATATAGAAAGGTGCAGATTAAATACTTTGTGTTAATTTTTCTTGACTTATTAGGTTAGGTATTCCCATATAATGGGCCATTAATACACTGGTTTGGTCTTAAACCATATCCTCGACTCCACCATACCTAATTATGCGCCCTACTTTCTAATAAATGCTTAGAATCAATACAGTGAGTACATGCTCTCTCTCTCTCTCTCTCTCTCTCTCAAATGCTCAAAATCAATGTAATGATTACAGCCATTCGAAAACACGGTTGTCCCACCCATGATATCGGTAATTACGAGCAAATTCATTTTAAAAAGGTTATGCAAAATGAATAGTCAGAAAAAACGTTGTAAAATTGACCATTTTTAAATCTCCTACTTGATTAATAAAGGTCGAAGTGGATATATATGTTTGAGCAGGGGAATTTGTTTTTCCGACATGAACTTGCAGTCACGGCCCAATGAAAATAGTTCTAATTTAAACAAAATTTGGGGGTGGTTCACACATTAACTAGAATGTAAAGTAAAAAATGCTTAAACAAGCTTAATAACCAGAACCATCTAAACTTCAAAGATCTAACTCTTTTTTAACTTTCCAAAACCACACATACTATCCAAAAATGTGGTTTACAAAATAATCACACCAAACAATATTTCACCATTTCCTGATTCATATGAACCTTCCATTCTAAAAAAAGAATGAAACTTGTATTCTGATCTCCAAAATTCATGCAAGCATTTTGATAAAGATTGGTCAAGCTTGGGCTTTGTTGCTTCCACGTTTCCTTTTCTGTGATCTAATTTTCCACATTTTCTCATCTCATTTTAATTTCTTGTTCCTCTTCATTTGAGTATGGTCTCTAGATTTGTATGATTGCAAGACAACCGCACAAACCCTAAAGCAACCCTAAAACACCTGGAAAACTCACTATATTTTTCCTATTATATAAAACTTATATACTTCCTCTTATCCAACCGTCTAGTCAAATGGGCAGCGGAGATGACTCTAATCACAATGTCATGCATTTAAAATACTTTTAGGTGCAGCCTATTGAGATGATGACACGTATCAAATTTCATATTTATATAATTTATAAAAAAAAATTGAAAAATAAAATACTCTAAAGCGTCAAATCTAGATCAAATGATTAGTAGCTCACTTAATCTAAATTAGAGGGCTGGATGGGGGAAATATATAGGGGTGGCAATGGGTCGGTTTCGACTAGACTTGAAATCGAATCTAAATAGTGTTTGGGTCTAAAATTTGGACCCATACCTAAACCCGTCGGGTCCCCAGTATGGTCAGATCCATTGCTGATGACTATGAGCTTCTTGTTTTGTTTTGTTTTTTTTTTTTACCATCGCATACCCTATGGCTATGAGTTATTTTCTTTCTGTTTTTGTTTGCTAATAATACGGTAAATGTTGTCAATATAGTGGCAATATGAACGCTTAGTGCACGTCTAAAGACACATAATTACCATCATATCCTTATGGCTACGTATACGAGTCGGGTCCAATTGAACCCAGACCCGGACCTAAATGGTATTTGAGTCGACTATTTGGAGCCGTACCGGGACCGGAGATCAGGTCTACCCGTCGGGTCTCGAGTCCGACCGGTGCGATTGGCACCCTAGATACATGGAAACCTTTCCCTCTCTCCAACGAACGCAATCCCGATTCCCCCTCTTTCTCTAACGAACACATTCCCTCTTCCCCGTCTTCCCCTTCCCTCTCTCTAGCTTTCTATCTCTAACAATTTCTTCACCTGATTCTCTCTCTCTCTCTCTCTCTCTCTCTGCAAGACCCATTTTCAATGAAGTTGTCGTCCACCTGCATTCCGTCAGGCCGAATGTTTTCTTTCCACATTTGAAAGGCAGAAGCACCGAATTTGAAAGGGACGCAAACCCCATTTTCTCTATGCTTCTCTGCAAAAACCCTATTTTTCTCTCGGTCTCTGCGACAACTCCTCGCTCAAAGGTACTCCTTCCCTTCCCCCTACACAAAATCTCCACTTGTTCATCTCAATGCAATCTCACAATTTGTTTCTTCTCTTCAAAAAGCACTCTGATTTCTTTGAAGATACTGTAGTCGTTTTCCCCAAAATTGTTCATTTTCTTCTCTGATCTGATCTGGGTTCAAGCTTCTTTAATGGCGATCAATCGGGGTGTTCAATTATGGATTTTTTGTGGTTTAATTATGGAAAGTTTGACCCTTTTAATGGCTGAAACCTGCCCAAAAACCAATCCTCTGGTGGGTTTCGAATCAGAGTTCTCGATGGTTCAACACCAGCTTAGAGGGGTGATCAAAATATTGGACGATTGCTCGTTTAGGGTTCAGAATTTTGACATGATAGAGGGCTCTGATGTTCATTGGTGGGGAGCCCTAGGGCCCAATTTCGAGAACTTGACCCATGGCTATGTGATCTCAGATGATAGGCTCAATCAAACCTACAAAAATGAAACCCTAGTTTTTTCTCTCAAGAATTATACATGGGATCAAATCAAGGTTATTGCAGTTTGGGATAAATCATTTGCCTCTGATTTCGGTCATGTTCTCCTGAACCCTAGAAATGAATCGAATATTGCGGTTCCCCCTCCTTTGAGTCCTTCATTGGCTCCCTCTCCCTCTCCCTCTCCCTCTAGTGACATTGATCCAGGGTCCTTTAATGAACGTGGACTTATCAGATCAATCCACATCAAACCCACCATGTTCGATAACTGTATGAGCCTCTCGCCTGAATTTCGACTGAGATGGACCCTAAATTCCGTATCTGATACAATCGACATAGGTTTAGAGGCAGCTGTTAGTTCACAACATTACATGGCTTTTGGGTGGGCAAAGCCTGGTTCCTTGGGTGAGCTCATGCTTCAAGCCGATGTTGCAGTTACAGGGTTCACAGAGGCGGGATTGCCATTCGCCGATGATTATTACATCACTAAATATAGTGAATGTTTGATAAGTAAAGATGGAGATGTTCAAGGGGTGTGTCCTGATACAATTTATGAAGGGGATGATCGCGTTTTGGTTAATAACACAAGGTTGGTTTATGGCCATAGGATTGATGGGGTTTCTTTTGTTCGATATCAGAGACCTCTTCAAACTATCGATAAGAAATATGATGTGCACGTGTATGCCACTGATAACATGACAGTAGTTTGGGCAATGGGTTTGATAAGGCCTCCTGATGCTCTTCGTCCTTATTATTTGCCTCAAAATCATGGTGGCCTAAGTAGAGTGGCTTACGGCCATACTAGCCTCAATATCTCGAAAGCCATAGATGATTGTCTGGGCCCGTTAGAGGCTGAGGATAAGGAAGATCAAGAGCTTATTGTAGCTGATGGTAAAACTCCTCTTGCAGTGGTTACTGACATAGCCATGCACTATCCTAACCCCCCAAATCCTCCTAAGGTTCTCTTCATAAACAAGAAAGAGGCTCCACTTTTGAGAGTTGAAAGAGGGGTACCAGTTACTTTCTTGGTACAGGCAGGGCATGATGTCCCCTTTTATATTACATCTGATCCAATTGGGGGGAATGCTTCTTCTAGGAATATGACTGAGACTATCTATGCAGGGGGACCACAATCACAAGGTGTTCCTGCAAGCCCCACTGAGTTAGTTTGGGAACCTGATAGGAATACTCCTGATCAAGTTTATTACCAGTCATTTTTTGGGCAAAAAATGGGTTGGAAAGTGCAGGTGGTTGATGGTGGTCTCTCCGATATGTATAATAACAATGTTTTTCTAGATGACCAACAAGTTACTTTGTTTTGGACTTTGTCAAAAAACACGATATCTTTTGCAGTTCGAGGAGAGAAGAAGAGTGGGTATTTGGCAATTGGTTTCGGCGGGGGGATGGTGAATAGCTTTGCTTATGTTGGTTGGGTCAATAGTGATGGCAAAGCTCGGGTTAGCACGTATTGGATTGATGGCCGAGACGCGATGAGTGTGCATCTAACAAATGAGAATTTGACGTATGTGAGGTGTAGATCAGAGAGCGGGATCATAACTTTTGAGTTTACACGAGCATTGGCACCTAAATGTAGCGGAAGGATGGAATGTAATAATATCATCGACCCAACTTCGCCCCTTCGAGTTGTGTGGGCAATGGGTGCTCGTTGGTCGGTGGACCACTTAAGTGAAAGAAATATGCATTCCATCACAAGTAGTCGACCTGTTCGAATTCTCTTGTTGAGGGGCTCGGCAGAGGCCGAACAAGATTTAAGGCCTGTTTTAGCAGTTCATGGATTCATGATGTTTGTGGCATGGGGCATCTTGCTTCCTGGTGGTATATTGGCAGCTAGATATCTAAAGCACGTCAAAGGAGATGGGTGGTTCCAATTTCATGTCAAGCTTCAATATTCAGGATTGTCGATCGCTTTCCTTGGTGTTCTTTTTGCAGCTGCTGAGCTCAGGGGATTCTTTGTTAGCTCCCTACATGTTAAGTTTGGTATCACAGCTATCCTTTTGGCTATTGCACAACCTATTAATGCATCTTTTAGGCCTAAGAAATCTGCTAACAACGAGGAGTCTTCATCGAAGCGGTTTTTATGGGAATATCTTCATATTTTCACTGGGAGAGGTGCACTTCTTGCCGGAATCGCAGCTATTATAAGTGGAATGAAACATTTGGGAGACAGGTATGGGGGGGAACATGTCAAAGGTCTTAATTGGGCCATAATAATTTGGTTTTTAGCTGGTGCAATGATTGTTATATACTTGGAATACTGGGAAATCAGGAGGAGACGGGATAAAAGTTTTGGAAAAAGTAATTGGGTGCTGGGAAACAGTGAGGAAGATGATTCTGTTGATCTTTTGCATTCAAATAGAGTAGTTAATGGGCGAGGTCCAGCGTCCTCTGAAAGAATGGAAGTTCAGTTGGAACCATTGAATCGATAGACAAAGTTTTGTTCTCATGAGAAAGTACCTTCTTTTTGTCACGGAATTTTTCCATTCACGGGGAGCATGAGAGGGGACCCATTTGGGTTTGCTTGGACGAATATCAGTGTGACCCACGGATTGAACTTTATTGTGGTATCTATGGACATTGGTAGCAATTTATTGCTTCAAAACAGGCTCGCAGCAATTAATAGCACCCCCATGACATGTAATCATGAAAGGCAAATACATTTGTGATAGGGAAGTGGCTCGTTCATTCCAAAGTAATTCCAAAATGAAGAGATTATATTTTTTCTTCCTACTTTTGCACGTGTGGCCATTTTACAAGGCCATGTTTAAGGAACAGTGTCTTTTGTAAGTTTTCTGATATAATGCATGGTGAACTTTTCAATATAGTCAGATTAACTGAGTTAAATTCTGCTAGTATGAGTTATTTGGCTCCATGTGATGTTTTTGATGTTTGACCTCTAAAATCAAGTATATTGATCTTGTCATTCCCCTTGTTACATTATTTTTAAATGAGCTCCATTTTAATTAGTTAGTGTTGCACATATAATGTCATTGCCAGTGCTCCAATGGTTCTCTTTACCATCATTGGCTGCTTAATCCAATTTCTATTTGCTTTGCTCCAAGCATCCTCTTTTATTTGTGTTTTGGAGTAACTTGTATGATTATCTATTCAGTAGTTCTCGCCGTATTTTATTTTATTTTGAAACAGTTCAATAGTTATTACTGTATTATACTGCATAAACCTTTTCTTATTTTACTTGTTTATTCTATCCATTTTCTGAAAATGGATATGCATGAAATGTGACTCTGACTGAGCAAGGTACCTCACAGCAAAGTATAACAGTAGTTAAGGATTTTGTTAGATGAAGAGAGCACCATTTCAGGATAAGGACAAGTTTCTCCTGTTGGCTAGTGTCCATTTTTTTCTTTTGTATTTCTCCTTGGATTTTGACTCTTTATTTGGGGCTTGAAGGGCATTCTCCCATCTTTCAAACTACTAAAGAACTATGAAAGAGATTGATCTTTGCTTGTTTACAAACAATAAAATTGATTAATGAAAACACACCAGCCAGATTTTATTAGATGTTAAGATGATACTAGATCTATCTTGTTACACATCAAAAAAAGAAAAATATAATTCTAGATCTATACAATTTGGACACACTGTCTCAATTTGATTTGTGTATATTGTCTATTTTCCATGGAGTTAGATGTGTCGGGTCTTGTAAGTGATTATGCCAAAGTTTGCTCTTGCCAATAAGTTTGAAGACAATCTTAAAATTCTGCCAAAATTAGTATTCGTACTCAAAAGGAAGTTTGTAGCTCTGGACTTCCCCATTACACCCGATTGTTGCTGAACCAATCCCATTCTAATGCACTGGAATGCACACTGAAGTTATAGAATTGTTCAGATTTCTTGGTTTATTATGTCTATGTCTGACTTTCATTCATCTCATTTTGTTCTCCTTACAATTAATTTTAATCTCTTTACAATTATGTCAACAGAGAGGGCATGGGTGAGATTTGAACATGTGCTTCCACTGTGAAAGCTGATGGCTCCACCTCTCTGGTTCCTCTACTACTGCAATAGTTCACATGTTAACTGTTTATGCATGCATTGTGTATAACCTAAGAACTCATTTAATTACAAAACCTTTAACTCTTGAAGTTATTGATGGCATTTTCACAATTTCGATATCTTGCTTGTTCCTATTGGTGCAAATTTTAGTTGGGGTTGGGCGTTTTAAGTCTTGCTCTTGCCCCTGCCTGTTGTTTTTGTGAATTGTGAACAATAAAAGGTTTAGATTCCTTAATAGAGATTGTGAAAAGATACCAAACAGGGATGATAGTTACAGGATTTGCGGTCCTGTTCTCTCACAACAGTTTGAGATTCATTGTGGATGATGAGATCTAATTTAAATGGCTAACAAAATTACATAAATACGGCATTCAAAAGATAAGTCTGGTTTTTGCCCTTTTTAATTATCCAGCTCCTAAAATAGCATGTTATCTGCCTTGTTTTACACGTTCATTTACTTGTATGAAGAGTAAACAAGGTTCACTTTGGCATGCACCTGTTTGTTAGACACTGGATATGTATGCCTCTTAACTTGATAGTGATTAAAATTATTGTATATATGCATGCATGTGTGTGTTTCTAATACACTTCTAATGACGATGTTAGAACCCTGCTCTTTTGATGTTAGAAAACCCCACTCTCAAAATTTGGTACTTTAAAATACCTTTTATTGTATTGATTTATTTTGAAGACAGGGGTGTTAAAAATAACTATAAAATCCATCCTACATGGCAGGAGAGAATAGCTAGTGTCTCTTAATAAACTTCAAATCATCTGCTAGAGTATGAAATTACCCTTCCCCTAAAATTAGGACAAACTAGGGAATCACCCATTTGTAACTAGATTCGCTATCTTATCCATTGTTAATAAATCTGGTTTCAATATCAGTTTAGTCTTAATGACTCAAATATTTGTCTCATTTTGGTGCTGGTAGCGTGGGTGCTCTCTCTCATGAATAGGAGAAAAATCTGGATCAGAGCCCTTAGCCTTAAAACTTTTTTGTTTCATCGAAAAAAGAGAGTGGCAAAATTGTCTCTTTCAAAAGGATATGTTTCTCATGTAGACCCTTTTGAAGATAGAGATGTCCATGGATCCCAACTAAGAATTTGAACTTTTATAGATTTAGAAAGTGCATACTCATGAACATTCAAAATTATATGCAGAAAAATAAAAAGGATAGTGTGATCCATATGATCATGGTAATAGCATGGTCATAAGAATGATGGCCATTCTATCAATAAGTTAGAATTCGACCAGAGGAAGAACAGGTGAACATATATTATTTGTGCAATTGTATGTGTCACTCTGCTTCCATCAGACCATCCAACCCAAAGGTTGGTTGGAGGTGATCCATATGTATCATGCTGTTATTATTTTCATCTTACTCATACTAACCTTCTGTTGGCCTAAGACCAGCGGATCTTTCAGTTATCAAAATTCAAAATTAGCTAATCACGCATGTAAATCAAAGCTCTAATTATAATAACAAACTGAACAAACACATTGCATGCAATCTCTATCAAGGAACCAGTATGAAAGTAGAGCAAGCAAAATAGGAGTTTATGGAACAAACTGCCATTCAAATGATACCAATTCACTTTTCAAAAAAAACCGAAAGCATTAATCAATATCTCAATGTCTAGCATTACAAATTATAGATTTCAAACCTACGATCTTTTTGCACAGCAAATCCTTTGCCCAAATAGTAGTATTAAAACACAATATGAGGCATAAGAAATAGGAACCAACTCAGTACTTTTAGGGGTTTATCTGGTTGGTGAATAGAATATTGTCAAAAAAAAAAAATGTTCGAGAGAGGGAGAGTTAAGACAGCTTGTGTAAAGGTGCTTTAACCTATACTAGTTCTATTATACGTGCATTGCATTTAGAAATGAAATAAGCGATCGCATACGATGCAGAGTATCTATGAAGACAAAAGTCCTTAATATTTTTGGACGATAATGAAAGATGCTGATTATTTATTTAATTTAATATTCCAAAGGATAAAACAAACAATTTCATCAGAATTTACGTGTAATATGTGTTTGGAAACCATTTCATGTGAAAGTATTCGTGACGATCAAAAGATTTTTGGAAGTTTGTTCCACACTTTTTGGCGTGTTTTTTAATACTTTGCTAAACTTAAGTACCATTACTTTAGAACTTCTTTATGTTTTTATTGAGAGATGTTGTCTTTACATTTATTTGATATAGTTTAAAGCCATTATGGTTAGCTATTGCTAAAAGACAAATTGTTTCATTCAGGTGGACCGCATATTTACGGTCCAAAGGTATAAAGCATCCATTTTAAAGATGGATGCAAATGGGTGGTCCATTTGAAAACAAATGTAACTAATGGTCCAAGTATTATCTTAATATTTGTTATCTTAATATAATTATTATGGGTGCAGTTGGCATACGGATGCATCCGTAGGTGTAGAGGTAAGGTGCAACTTCAAATTTTATCATGGTATATAATTTTGATGTAAAATGTTCTTAGGATTATCAAAAAATCTATTTTTATATCTAATTATAAAATCTTAAATTTCAAAAATGGTTAAAATCAAGTAGATCTATAAACATAAGAAAATCTTGAAAATGAATTGTGTAGATAATATGTTGTAAAATGTACTAATTCTCAGACTTAAAATCTTTTTATTTTTCATAGTCATACATTTCGATGTCGAGATGATCAATCAAAGGGTTTTCAACATTAAAGCTACATTTTCCGATGGATTTTTGAGGGGCATCCATAGTTCTACATTATAAGGTAGCATCCTCATATAAACTTTTTCCAATTATTATTTCTAGTTTTCAATTATTTTATTTTTTTCATATTTATGATCTCCATGTTAAATATTATATATTCTCTAAATATTAGGATCAAATTATATTTAAAACATATATTTATTGCCAAGCCACCAAGCTGGACCCTTTCCCAAAAAAAAAAAAAAAAAAAAAAAAAAAAAACGGAAAAGTGGGATCCACACTCCTTTTTGCCTGTGATCTTTTCCTCTCTTTTTCGTACGGGATTGGTTCCTTATGCTAGTTAGTCCGAGACCAGATCAGCCTCTTGATAGGCCAGAGTAATTCACCAATAATGTAGGGAAAATTGGGTGGTTCAAATTCTAATTGCCTGGCTAGAGTAATCGGTTTTAGTTTTGGTTAACAAGTTGGGTATTTTAAAAAATTCAAAAAAAATTATATAAAATATAAAAAAATAGGGGATTTTTTTTGTAATACATTTTTTTTAATGTTTTTCATCGATTTGGTAAAAATTAAAAATTGTTTTGGTCATTAATATTTATTTTTACATTTGTCTCTTTTTTTTGAAAAATTTCAAAAATACCCTTGAGTATAAATCGATTTTTTAAAATCCATTTTTTTTTCATTTATTTTTAACTTCATTTGAATGTGTTTTGTTTAATCATGCTTTAAATATATTTTTTATGTTTTATTAGATTTTTTTTATTTTTTAACATTTTGTTTACTGCCCAAAACTTGCCCAATTAAGGTTAAACTGGTCAATTTATCGATTAGTACCGAATAACCACTTCATACATGATGTCCGATTAACCGTTCCGATCCAATTTATCCTGCACTGTTCGCCAATCCTCAAGTATGACTGGTGTGGTTTATGAAGATGTCATGAAAATGTAATCTTTGGCGCTGAATAAATAAATAAAACAAGGGTTGCATTCTGCAATTTCTTTAGGTTATGCTTGACGTATGTCTCTATTCATATGTTTTGTCCTTTCTTACAAGAACATCGCTAGCTTTTTGAGCATGGGACGAAGAATGAAGAAATTTCCAATCGTCAATAACGAGATGTTAAAAAAAAAAAAGTTGGTAAAGGACAAAGAGAGTTGACCATGTCTGGAGCCTCTGGTTTTGAGAATCCCGACATCCATACGTGGCAGTAAGGTTTGCAATGGGCCGGGCTTGGGCTGGCTGGTCTTGGCCCTGTCCTCATCCCTATTGGGCTGGCCCAAGCCCATCGCTTTTTTAAAGTCGGGTTAGGTAAAAAATAAATAAAATAACTAGTTCAAACCTTACCCCACTTTTTCTTCCTTTCTTTTTTATTTTTTTATTTTTTTATTTTTAATTTTTTATTTTAATTTTTTATTTTTTATAAAGGCCAGGCTCACCTGGAGCAGAGGTCATGTGTCTCACTGGGGTAAAAGGATGGATTGGCACAACCATGTTCAACTTTACTCACAATGAATGGAACCCTACCCTTTTCAAAATAAAAAGACAAGAGAAAGTAGTGCAATGTGTGTGGCTCTAAGGAGCTATTGTTTCTCTTGTAAAAAATTAGGGAATTAAAGCGATGTTCAAAAAAAGAGAGAGTAGGGAATTGAAGCTACTTTGGTGGTGGGTAACCACTTTATTTATTATTTGATACTTATTTTTAGGGTTTCTCTTGAGAACAACTAAGATTCGGTGCTCCATCTCCGTTCTTTATGAGCAGACAGATTCGGTGCTCGATCTCCTTTCTTTATGAGCCGACAGATACTCCACTATTCAAATATAAATCATTTGTAATGTGCGAAAGAAATGCTTACATATCTCACTTCAATACTACTAATAATGCACGTGATATTTAATATAAATCACTCAAACATGTTTATCATTGAAAAATATTTTCAATAAAACATGGTCTTAGAGATCATTGAATTTATCTTTACTGTTGAATACCTTTATGATATAATTATGATTTTTTTAAAACCATACAATAAATAAATAATTCAAGTATACTATTTGTGATAAAATACGATTATAGGGAGACAAAATTTTTTTAAATGCTATTTTAAATAGAGGAATAAAACTTGATATAGTGCAAATGAAAAAAAGTGAGAGAAAGTTAGAGGAGACGTGATCAAAATTCATAATTAGAAAATAAAAATTACTCATGTATCTCCCAAAAAAAATTTAAATTTTATATATACTTCATCACATATTTTTTTGCTAGAAATACAATATTGTAGTTGCAAAAGCAATTTAATATTCAAATAATCATAAAAAATTAAAATACATATAAAGGAAAAAATTGAGATGAAAATAAACCGATACATCATTTAACATAAGAATAAAAAAAAACAAAAACTAATTTTATACTTCCCAATAGAGAGACCAAAAGAGACATAATCCATTTGGAATATAGCAAGAGAAAGCTAGAAAAAAGAGTATTATAATTAAATAAGTTATATGCAATTAAAATAAATAAAATAAAATGATTCAATAAAAATAAAATAATAAAACTAAAAATAACAATAGTAATAGTAACAATAGTAATAGTAATAAAATAAGGGATGATTAAAAGAAAAGAAAGAATGAGATGAGAGAGAAGAGGGATGGGCATGAGATGACATGTATGGATATAAAAAAGATGTGGGGGAGAGAGAGAAAGCATGGGATGATATATATGGGCATGAGAGAGATGTAGGGAAGATAGAGTTATTAAAATCATGGGATGAGAGAGATGTAGGGAAGATAGAGTTATTAATATAATGGGATACGTGGCGAAAGAGTGAGCAGGGTAGTCTTCTCTCTTAATATATAATAATACATACGCTTTAGGTTAGAAAGAAAAAAGAAAAAAAAAAGTTTATATAAAGATGAGGCTCTAAAATATCAAATTAAGGAGCACGTCAAATTCATAAGAGGATGATGTTTTGATGCTGAAAAACTCTCAATTTGATCATCTCGACCTCAAGATTTATAGACATGAGAAAAATAGATCCCAACTTTTAGAAATAGTACATTTTGTAATGCATTATCTAAAGCGTCATTTTTTCAAAATTCTCAAGTGTTTATAGATCTGTTCGATCTACATTATTTTTTAGAGAATTGTTCGATCTACATAATTTTTTAATATTTAAATTTTATAATTATAGATAAAAATAAATTTTTAGATCATCATAAAAATTTATATTACTCAAACAACATATTTCAGCACTATTTGAAAGTGCATCTTAGTCATTGTTTAGGTCCTCTGCCTCATACAAAGTTACAAACCAAACCCAAAAAATAAACCCCAAAAGAGATTAGAAAATGTGCATCGATGAAGTAAAAAAAGTAGATCTCATCAATCGAATAAAGCGGAATTGAAAATGTTATTTCACATGGGGGCCCTTCTCTAACTCAGTTTTGTTAGATTACAGGGTCCCCCAACTCAGGGGGGAGGCTCTCTCTCTCTCTCTCTCTCATGCTTATAATTTATATCATTTTCCTAAGCAATCAACATACGTCAAACTTTGGGTTGCGGTTCCAATGAAAACTAATGAATGTCTCACTATACTACACCTTAACCAGGTCTCACCTCCCTTCCTCCCTCTTTCTGACCACCTTCCTTTCTATTACTAAGATCTTTGTCTCACTATTGAATATACCATAACATCCTCTTTCTCTTTCTCCCCCTCTAACTCTCTCTCTCTCTTTCTCTTTCTTCTTTCTTTTTCTTCTTCCTCTTACTTCTTTTTTTTTTAATTTATTGGGGGAAGACAGGTCCTACTCATGTTTCAAATAATTTGAGAGTTGGTTTTTGTTTAAAGTATTAGTAGATGCTGATTTTTTTTTTTTTTGATAATTTAGTGGGGTAGACCGCTCTTACCTATTTTTTAAAATAGATTAGAAGTTAGCTTTTTTGAAAAGATATTAGTGGGGTGGTATTAGTGGTTAGAATGAAAATCACAATGTGGTAATTAAAGTATAGGGGTGCTATACTAAAATTTCATCCATTTTTAACTTTATTGTTAGGAGGCGGTGTCAGTGAGAATAAAAACCACAACGTCATTACTAGAATTGGGGGTGCTATCACGGTAAAGTTGACCGAAATGGTTAGTCGCATATCTTCACTCATGCCCCTAGACAGTCGAAAGCTGCTCTCTGTTTGCCAAGTGGCTTCTTATTTGCCTCTCATAAAAAGAAATAAAGAGCCAAGACTAAGCCTCTCATCCAAATAGAAAGGAAAAAGGGCCACATTAGCTTTACATTTTCCAAAATTTGTAGGAACCGTGCTGCCTGCAAAATTTTAAAAATTTTATTCCTATTTCCAAATGGACCCATTTAAAAAAAAGGAAGAGACAAAAAACAAAAAAAAAGAACCAACATTAAACCATGAATTCTAAGATCCAACCACAAAAAGCAGCACAATGGAAGATTATCACGTATGCTTCAAATCTTTTATCTCAAACCTTAAATTGCAAATCTCTACTTCCCTGTTTACAAAACACATCACAAGATGGCAAACATATCCAGGCACCTATACATCATAGAAACCTTATGTTAATGCCACCATAGATGATCATGAATTGGAGATCAGCAAGAGCTTCATCAGTAAACGCTAGGCCTCCATAAACATCATCGCTCATTAAAATAAAGGTTTTTTTTTTTTTGGGTTATTTTTCTATCTTCTAAAGCTACGAACTTGAGGCCTTGCATGCTCATCATCATCCGGAATCTTCACAGCCGTGTAGGCCCCGGCCCCACATAATGCCCCTAAAATCGGACCCACAATGTAGACCCAGATGGCCCTATAGTTGTTTGCCGCAATGGCGGGGCCCAGCGTCCTCACAGGGTTCATAGAACCCCCAGTGTTCTTCCTGTCACACACAAATATAGGTTAATTTCATCAGTTAGAATTTACATGAGAAGGCTAGAAACCTTTTCTTTAATGAGAGGGTGTCTTCAGGGGCCACAAAGATTGCAACCCCATTTTCAGAATTTCTAGAAGAACTATTTTAATTTGGTTTATATATTAGAAAATTCATTTTAGATGGTGGGAAGCTAGTAGAGAAAAATGTGGGAGGGGCAATTTCGTCCTTTTCTTGATTAGAGTTTTTTTTTTGGGTGGTAAAAATATGGAAAGTGCATTTTAGAGATCTGATTTTAATGTTTGAGAGGCTAGTAGGACATTTAAGAAATCTTATTAGGGTGGGAAGCAGTTTATAATGCATGTACTCAATGAAAATTGATTGTTATATGTCGGATGTGAAAAAAATTAATATATTGGGTATTCACGCAAGAATCAATGGGGATACAGGATTCTAGGTATAGAGTAGAGATTCCCAAGCCGTGAGGCAATTTTGGTTATTAAACTGTTTTGGGTTCCCTTGAAGATTTAATAATTTTTTCTATTCAATAATAAATGCAATATTCTTTCAATACACAGTAGCTATGTGAATATTTATGTACAAATAATGTATTGTGTGTGAAAATGGCATGGAAAACACATTATGGTCATACCCTGCAATGAGTATGTTGAGCATTACTGTGGCCCCAACAGCAATCCCAGCAAGTTCTCCCACCTGAATGCATGCATTATACCACATCATGGAAGAAATGATAAAGAGAAAGAAAAAATCATAAAAGAGATAGTGAAAATTTAAGAAAAAGACAACCTTAAAGGAATTATCTTAAATGGCTAATCCGACCCGGAATGGATTTAGTAGGATCAAGAGTGGAAGTTGGATGATTCCAGATCGAGGAATCCTCACTCGTTCCTTATGTTTTCTTTTTCTAAATTCCTTATTAAATGTAGGCCAATCCAACTCAAAAATCACCGAGTGGGATCTAGGCAAACTAGAATCAGGTCCAGTGGCTCGTAGCCCAATTCTGATTTTTCGACCACTGATAAACTAGCCTAGGCATTTTTGGTCATGACATACCCTTTCTCTTTCCTAATTTAGGAAATAATGGTTTACCTTAATTTGTCTTTTTCCATTAGGTATTTTAGTCAAGGGTGAGGTTCGTATAAGGTGTCCACCTTATGCTATATAAGTAAGAGTAGTTCTGAATTTTGTCAAAAAAAAAAGTAGTTTTGGTGTAAGAAACCTCACGATAATTTGAAAACTATTTTTAATCATAATTACGAAATTTAAAACTCTAATAACAATAAGATCTATAAATAGTTAAAAATAGACAACTTAGATAACTTGTTACAAGATGTATTATTTTTAGATATCGTATGAGAGGAGACCATTTACCTTTGATACAAGTTGGTCACAATTTCTTGCAATCATTTAATGTGAAATTTGGTAGCTTGGATATATCACAAAATTCAAAAAAAATTCTTTTGAAGTTTGAGCTTGGTCAATGGAATAATTGCAGCCACCCAATTGCACATCCAATGGTCAAGGTTAATGTGACCACGATGTATCAAAAGTAAATGATCTCATTTTATACTTTTTTTTATTTTTATGACTTGAATTTTTTTTTTTTTCTTTATATCCATACATCACAAGGTCTAGATAATCAAGTGAAAGGTTTTCGAACTTCGAAAAAAAAAAAAAAAAGTTCCCTTGGCTTTTTGAGGTACACCTTACTTCTAACCTATATAAACTTTTTCCCTTAGGTCACCTACTTGAAGGGCATATAAGATAGTGAAGTACTAGTGATAAAGAATGAATGGAAATACGAGATTCAACCGCATACCGCTCTAGTGTCAGTTGCGACCGCGGTTACAACAAACATGAGGTTGAAAGAGATAATGAATTCGAGGGCAAAGGCTTGGGCATAGCTCCCCGATGGCGCCGTCACCCCACCCCCCATAAATGGGTGAAATATGACCTTCAATGCAAATGACGCACTTATTGATGCCAACACCTGTGCCCCAATGTACATAGGAACCTGCCCAAATAAAATAACAATAAGAAAAGAGGGAAAAAGTTTATATAAGGTTGTAACCTTAAACCGTAGAATTATAGATGCACTTCAAAAATCCATAAATCCATAAATCCATAAAAAAATGTTGTTTTAATGCTAAAAAATTCCTTAACTGATATATGAATATGAATAAAAATAAGATTTTGAATGCAAAAAGTAGTGCATCTTACACACATTGCTCATACGGTCGATTTTTAAGGTTTTCATATGTTTATAGATCCATTTGATTTGACTATTTTTAAAATTTAAAAATTTATAGTTAGATATGAAAATAGATTTTAAGATAATTCTAAGAATTTTTAACACCAAAATTAGATATTATGATAAAATTTGGAAGTGCGCCTTGATTAGATACTTTAAAGTTGCAACCTTATAAAAACCTGCTAGAGGGATGCTAATGCTAATAAAATAATTGTGAACAGAGAGAATGGTGCAAACTTGTGTCAAAGATATGTAGAGAGAGTGTGTGTCTAGTTTTCTTGTTTCTAGTGAGAAAGTGATAAAGACTGGACTAGTTTGTTTGTGCGTATATGTTGGGGAGAGAGAGATGTGGATGATCTAGAGAGAGATTGAGAGAGAAATAGAGAGAGGTTTGTGAGGAAATCATAAAGTCTAGTTTTCTTGTATGCATCGTACATGAATGAGAGTTTTAGAGAGAGAGAAGAGTTACTTGTGTCCATGGAAAGTGCTTCAAAGCTGCAAAAGCAATGGTAACAGCAGGGTTGAGGTGGGCTCCCGATATATGACCAGTGGAGAGGATGACTATCATCACTGCCAAACCAGTTGAAGCGGCACACCCGATCAGCGTTTCAGACCCATGCGTTTTCTGGTTCACAATTGCGGTTGCAGTCCCGGCGAAAATGAGCATCAATGTTCCTACAAACTCAGCTCCAACCTGTTCATGAAAAATAAAAATATTTACTCCATATATAAAAGGAAAAACCCAGATAAAAAACATTCTCCATCGACCCATGTCTTCAAAGAAAAGTAACTGAAATGTAGAGAGAGAACAGACAGATCTGATGAGAGAGAGAGATGACAGTGGGAACCTTTCGAAAGAGGGAAACAGGAGGAGGTGGCATTGCGCAAGAAGGGAGAGCGCCCTCTTCCAAGGCCCATGATTCAACAGTGAAGCATTTGTGACAGGCACTTAGCATTGATCTCTTGTGGTTATTTGAGCTTCTTCCACCATTGGCTTGTAAACCAAAGAGTGGAGCACCTGGGGTGCCTGGTGTTGCAGGTGTTGAAGGGATTGATGTTGTGTCATCATTGTCAGCCATGCTACTAAATGCTCTCTCTCTCTCTAGCAACAAACTCAGAAAATGAAGTCCAGAAAACTCACTTTCTCTCTCTCTCTCTCTACACACTGAATACTACTAACTAACTACTACTCTCTCTCTCTACTAACAAACAAACTACCTACCGAACCGAACTACGTCTCTCTCTCTCTCTCTCTCTCTCTCTAGACGAACTACTCTCTCTCTCTCTCTCTCTGGTATTGGTATTGACCAAGGGGATGTTGAGGGGGCTTATATAGGTGAAGGGGTGGTGGATGTTTGACTTGGGTAGGGGCCAAAAAGCAAGCTTTGAAATTGATGAGGCGACTACACTGAAAGAACAGTTAGTACCACATAATGACAATCATATCCTTTTCCTTTTGCATTATGCCATATAAATTCTTTGTTTTCTCAAATGTCTTACCCGTTCCCTCTTTTTCCTCTTCCTTTTGGGTAGAGGGCTAAAAGTTTTCCTCACAAAAGTGTTCTCTAATAATATGCTAGTGTAATTATTGAAAGCCCACTTACATAATCTCCACCCCTAAAATTTCCATTAAATAATTTAGAGCCTCTACTTGAAATTATTAGAGTTTAGTGTTTAAAGGAAAAAATTTATATAAGTGCGAGACTCTAAATAATCAAATTAGCATGCACTTCAAAAAGTGATTTTTTGATTCTCAAATTGATTGTCTCGACCTCGAGATATATAGACATGAGATAAAAATATATTTTAAGTTTTGGGAATAGTGCATCTTGTAGTGCATTTTTGGACCGCCATATTTTAAGTTTTCATAGATCTGCTTCGTCTATGATACTTTTGAAGTTTTAAATTTTATAATTAGAGATGAAAATATATTTTAAGGCCATCACAAAGATTTTTAGTATTGAAATCACATTTCTCAATACCATTTGAAGGTGCACTTTACTTTGATTATTTAGAGCATCGACTATTTACAAACCACACCAATGTTTAAATCAGTGTTCTAGAAACATATAATTTAGATAAAGAATTATCGTTCATCATCATCATCATGTAAAGGAGCTGGGTTGTATTAGAGAAGCAGTAAATGTAAAACTTTGTCAAAACTTATCATGAATCAGGAATCACCGATACATACTAGAAACCAGATTGACCAATTTCCTTGTCATAACAAGAAATCGGTTTGGTTCTTATAGACTCACCCTATTATGTCAAGGAAGTGAGCAGGTCTATCAAGGAACTAGACAATCCAAACATGACGAATCACCCATTTTCCACGCATCATGTTTTTTATCTTTTTTTTCCCTATTCTTATTTTTCAACTTTTTTTGTATTTTTATAGACTAATCCTCACACAAGAGAATCAATCTGATTCACCCATCCAAATCAATAAATAACCAATCCGAACTCTTTTATTTATTTATTTATTTTTTTGAAGAATATCCAAACTACTTTTCTGGATGGCCAGTCCACCAGGCCTATTTCATTTTTTAAAACACTTGTTCAAATTGAAGAGCAATAGGGTTCACAAAAGGTTTGGAAGTGGTTTTTTGTCATTCATGAAGTGAGTTAGGGCGTATCTTCTTTGGAGCACGTGGTTGTTGGGGCCTTTATTGCTTATGCTAGGATGGGTCTTTGTAGTTTGAAGGGCTTCTACATACATGTACGCATCATGGGCTTCCTGACCTATGGCACTAAGCATCACACTCGACCACCCACAATGGACTGCACCACTCAAACAACAAGGTTTGGTCAAAAGTGGGACTTCTCTCTTTTAGTTTTCTGGCTTGGTTTTGTCAAAAGCAAGGCATTATTATTGTCATGGCGTGAGTTCAAAATTTTTGATTGCCCTTGTGCTTTCTCTTGTGACATTTACCTCTTCACATGTGTTTTAGTAGTCATTTTTCACGATCATTATGTCAGGGTCATTATTCCCATCCCCATAATAGATTTGCTTACTCCCTTTTCTCCATGGTTTTCTGGATTTATTTTGTCCAAATAATTGGCATTATTGTCGTCAAAGGCCTGAGTTCAAATTATGATCGTCCTGGACCAAAGCGAAGCGAAGATGGTGCTGCTGCTTTGGCCCAAGAGGCCACAGTCATCCGATTTTATGCTTAGATTGAAGCGAAGTGAAGATTGGTATTGTCATTTCGGTCAGATTCGGCTGAAGCTTCGGCTTCTTCAGCCTAACCAAAGAAATATCTATATAAAAGAATTTTTTAATTTTTCATTATTTTATGTATTTTTATGTATAAATATTTGATTTATTTAAATTAAATTTTTTTTTAAAAAGTCCAACGTCTTCATTCAAATTAACCGAAACACCGAATTGCTTCATTTTCTCATCGTACCAAAGATGACTCCAAATCGAATCTGATAACATTGAATAGAACATTTTGCCCTTCAAGTGATTTAGTCATTTTTTCACATTCATTATTATCTTCTTTGTCTCCCATCTTTGCTTTAATCTCTTTGTAAATAGTATGAATAGAATCAGGATGGGGACGTCCACTAGGCAGAGCACAGTATGATCTATATGATGACCATGGAATACTTGAGTCATGCTACGTTGATGAAGAGATTGTGGGACCTACCACTTGGGTCATGTCAAGCTGTGATTCTAAAATTTCCCGCGTAGGACGAATTGGGAGGTAGGCGATTTGAGGCTGCAAAGCTCTGGAATCGCCATGTCTCCCTCATTTTTGTATTTTTTTGATATATTTTTTTTGTTGAATATAACCCTGTTTGGCTTGGGAATGGAGGTAGGCGATTTGAGGCTGCAAAGCTCTGGAATCGCCATGTCTCCCTCATTTTTGTATTTTTTTGATATATTTTTTTTGTTGAATATAACCCTGTTTGGCTTGGGAATCGAAAAATTCAAATCACAACCAAAGTCCGAGTCCAATTCTGCCATTGAAGCAACACTAGTTTTGAGGGCTCGCACTTCTAAACCCTGGGTTTTTAAGGGCTCTCACCTCTGGGATCTTATGGATCATAAAATACTTTCCAGATCTAAAAAGCTATTGTTGGTGAGTGCATTAACCCAACTCAATTGAGAAATGTGTCTACATTCCTTCAACCTGTCTTTTCAGGCCAAATAAGTAAACACAAGCTCAACCATGGAGCATGTCAACCATAAGGCCTTGTATCATGAAAAAGCAACATAGTACATACTTCAGTAGTTGCCACCTAGAAAACCCCCACTTCCTGTCATATATTTGTTCCTTGTCAACGATCACTTTGAGCCACCCCACCCATAACACATATATAACATTTCCACACCCCTAGGCCGATTACATCAAGGACAAAGTTATTATCTATGAGATCATAACAAGAGGGAGTTTGCACACATTTAACTTTGGTATAAGAAGATCACAATTTCTCCTAACAATCAAATGTGAATTCGGGCGGTTATAAATGCCATAAATTTTGAGAAAAAAAATTTATACTTTAAGCATAGTCAATAAAATACTTATAAAGACTCGATTTTCTATTTGAAAGCTATAAGTGATTGTGACATTCTTTTAACTAAATAGACTTATTTAGGGTTGGCAATAGGTCGGGTCTAAGTCCCTAGAGGGCTGGCTCTAGCCTAGCCCGGCTGGCCTTGACCGAGCAAAAGGGGCCCTGGCCCTATCCAGGCCTCGACGAGCAAGACGAATCCTAACAAAATAAATAAATAAAAATGCAAAATAAAAATAAAAGGAAAAAAATATAGGGCGGGCCAAATAAGTCATTACCTATATTGGGGATTGCCTGGCCGTGGTGTCTTGGTGGCCCCGGCCCTATTTTTAAGGGCCCGTCTGCCAAGTCCATTCTCAACGCCGCTCTAATTGTTATACTTTTCCTAACAATAGGGGCAAAAGCATATACTGAAAAATTAGAATCAGACTATGAACAGCCAAGGACCGATTTCAAGTAGAGTAATCCAACTAGAGCAATGATTCTCAAGCAAGATTGTTGTATGGATACTGTAGAAAATAAAAGAGATTGTAAAAAATCGGGTAATTCTTTCAATTCGAGAATTCCTCAAACTGCAATCTGCAATCATCCACCCACCGATTTAGAGCCAAAACAAGTGTGAGCAAGCTCAGCGTTTCTTTAAAACCCGGGGTAGAAGCATACAATGCGAAGTACTTGATCCATCTTTCCACAAACATGACAATATTTGTAATTTCGGAAGCAGTGTTTTAAAACCCGGTGATTACAGATCTGGATCGCTGATCCAAATGTGAAATCGATTGGGATCGAACCGATTATGGGTTGGTATAGGTCCGGACATGATTCCCTCCTACAATCTCAGTTTTCATTCTTTTTTCTTAGCTTATCTAATGTTGTAATGGCTCCCACTCAAATAAAACCTTTACTTTAATTTGAATTTTATTTCATTTATTTTTAAATTTTTTATTGATCACCAATCTAGTTGATCCAGATGGGGATTGGGGCTGGATGACCTGCCCCATCAATCTATTATTTAAAACGTTGCTTTCAACCCTTTAACCACCAACAACTATTCTTATTTTCTTTTTGATCAGTTTAGTGTCGTAAGTGGGATTGGAGAGCACAATGTATGACTAAGATATGGGGTGTGCTACCACCACAAACCCAACCCCTTTCCCAAATACCACTACTTGAAGATGCATTTTTACTCCATTAGTGCATAGTCTTCTTACGTCACTTTGCACTAGGCTAGGTTCCTAAATCTTAGGAAGGGTTTGATAAGTACTCTAGACCCAGTTTAAAGTTGTGTTTTGTTGGTCCATGTCCAAAGCACCCATGACTCTAATTAAGATTCGATAATGTAAGATTAATAACAGTTTTTTGGGTTTAAAGCCTCTACATTGAACACATCACCCTTTGTTCCTCCTTTTCAATATACAAAAGACCACTGGGTTCCACCCATTAGGTCTTGCCACAAAAAAAAAAGAAGGAAAGTCAAAAGGAAAGAAGAAAAAGGAATATGTGCTAATCCATTGATTAGGGCTTAGCATAAGATAATTTTAGTGGCCATTGTTGTTTGCACATGTTTTTGCTTTAATCATATGCAACAATTCCACATTGCTAAATTTGAAATGCTTCCTCCTTACTCCAATTGATTTATCATA